CCACCATATGGAAAGATGACGGAACCTTGACCAAGGAGCATTTGATCGATATGGAGAGTTGCCTCGAAAAGATGGTGGTGCCCCCATCATACAGCATCGCTCGCGGCTGTATTACGACTGGATTTGCTGGAATGACGTCGGATGAATGGAGGTCGTGGACTGTTGCACTCTCGCCGTCGTTGTTGAAGGGAAGATTGCTTGGAGAAAAGATGCACACTGGTTGCTCTTTGTCGCAGCAGCACGTCTCCTGTGTAAGCCATCCATCACCATCGCCGAAAACGAGGAAGCCCACCAACTGCTGCTCAAATTTGGCCGCGACTTTTCAAGATTGTACTCTAGAGATCAAGTCACGCCAAATATGCACTTGCATGTTCACCTTCGCGACATGGTACTCAATTTTGGCAGCTGCTATAACATGTGGGTATTCAGCTTTGAGCGGTTCAACAAGATCATCAAGAACCAGCACACCAACCAAAAAGACCGTTTCGAGCTTACGTACATGAAGAAGTTCTTGAGTGTCGTGTTGCTGATGATATGGTCCGACGAGTCGTGGTCGAGCGGTGCGGCAACAGCACGATTGCCAGACAGATTGCTGAGCTGTTGCTGCCACAATCAGAAGCTATGCAAGAGCATTACGATTGTCAGCCGTTTTTGGATCAATCGGATTTCGACTACACCGCGGGAGTAGTGTAGTTGGTTGGGAGCCGCTGCACTATCATATCTTCCCCTCAAGACGGCAAAAAGGTATACATGGATATGCGCTACTACCACTGTCTTGTCGAGTATTACCAATCGATGTTTCCAGACATGAATTTTGTGTCACTCGCCAGCACTAGTGGTAATCAGGTCAGCGATCACCTCTACAAATTTGTAAAAGTCGATCTCCTGGGCCAAACATTCATTTCTGAAATGTCTCGCTACATTAACACCAGCACTTATGTCTGAGTCGTTTGCCCAAGTACTCAGTTTCATACTGAAGCGATCATTCGTCCTAGGCGTATTTTATGTTTCTTTGTCCACAACCTATGCAATTCCACTGACGGTAATTTCTGCCAGTTCGTTTTTGCTTTTGTTGAGTACCTGCGACCAAATATGCAAGTCTTTGAGTTGTTTAGGATGCTAGGCATAGACATCTACCATTTAGAAATCGAACTGTATACGTGGCAGTGTGTCGTTCCTTTGGGGAGGCTCCATTCCAGCGTTGTTGTTACCCCTATTCAAATAGACAATAGCTGTGCTCTTACATATTTACCATGTAAAATAAAAGTAATCTACTCTTAAAAGTAAAATACCTTAGGTCAGGTCTTTTTCTTTTTTGGCTTGACACTGCTATAGTTGTAATAAAGAATAAAATAAAAAACAAGTTTTGAATTATAGAAATCGCTTCAGATTTAAAAAGCATTTTGAAGGAATCTAATGCGATGGCGAATCAAGAAACTTATAGATGGTCAAATAAATAAAAATGTTGAAGAATTTATTTAGTAATTGGTAAAAAATAAAAAATAAAAAAGGAGAAAAAAGCAAAGTGGAGGAGACAAGTATAGTGGCAGTAAAAGTCTCAGAGTGGAAGAAGCACAGCAGTCCAGGTGGTGTAAAAAAGGGGTCATCCCAGATGGTTTTGGGGGAGAAGGATTTAGTAGGGGAGCCAATTTTATCCATTTGCTGCATCACAGCTCTGAAAGCACACTGAAAGTGCTCTGAAGTAAATTCTCACTGAAAGCACACTGAAAGCACATTGAAAGAAAAATTTCAGAGTACACTAAAAGCACTCTGAAATTGGTTTTAACTCCATGAAGGATCTTATAATATTGCCACGAAACTTTCTTCTGCCACCTTTATACACACAGTGCCTGGCTAGCTCAATTGGCAGAGCGTGAGACTCTTAATCTCAAGGTTGGGGGTTCGATCCCCCCGTTGGGCTTGTACCTCTAAATTGGTAGAGAATACTTTTTTTACTACTAGATTTCTCCAACACCTTTGCGCTGTTGTTGAGTCGCCTTTTGGCAGGTGGATCCGTAGCCAATGGGAAAGGATAGGAGCAAGGGGTAATCAGAGAATAGAGGGTTGTTAAAAGATCCCTTTTTATTGCTTATGATCGCATGGCTAATTATAATCTTTTTCTCTAATAAAGTGCCTCAGTGCTTGCCATATGATACAACCATATAATACACTACAATTACGATGTTGTCGAATGCCGCCTTCTACTTATTGTTTGTGTATTCGTTTGTATGTTGTCAACGTATTTTAGGGTGGCAGAATTCTGTTGTAATTGTTTGCTGCCTGGCAAAAGTGTTGCGTCGCCAAAATAGAATAATTAAAGGGCAGTCATTTTTACTACGACACTGTCGTAATTTATATAGATAGAAAACTACAGGAGTAGACCACACAGAGAGAACCACAAAGAAGGGAAGACCACAAAGAGTAATACTGATAGGTAACCATAGAGATAATCTGATAGTAGCTAGATGCCTTCTATTGTGATTTGTTGATCCAAGGTATTTATACCTTTTGATCAACTTATAGGAACCAATAAAATATACAATATCAACATTACTAATATGATTACAAATCTGATGAAGGTTAATAAATAATCGTGGAAGGAGTAAAGGCGATTAGTACTTTGAATGTTTTAGAGAAGTATTATCGTGATTGGTACGGTAACTTCTTGTAAGCACAAAAAATAAAAGAGGAACCTAGACAATATATACGATTGGTCCATGAATCTCATTAGTTCATGTATCAGGTCGAGAAACATGCTGCGACAGTGCCCAGGTGAGTTGAATTATCACTCACTGGGCTGACCCATTTGTGGGCCACCCAATCAGATTTGCAGTATAGTTTTACGCCCTTGAGCCTAACTTGTTTGCAGGCCTAGTTGTTTTTTTTTTTGCAGCATGAAAATACTATAGTAGTTTTACTTAGTTAACACTTTCCTGATAAGCGACTAGATCAAATGGAACTAATTTAAGGCTAGACATGAAGCAAATTTGGAGATTGAATGGGTTTGTATATCTTTACGCTTTGCCCAGAAGAAAATATATATTCTTCCAATCCCTCTCCCCTTCTTATATACTGCTTAGGACTACCTGCTTTTATTAAAAAAACTATATTTAGAAACAGAAAAAAAACCACTAAATCTTAGGATCCTATGTAAGGCAGCAAGAGAAAAGCATCCCCTTATTTCACCCTAGTTGAGTTCTAAATTGAAGGGTGGTAGCTGAGGCAGGTGGAAAGAGTAGGGTCCAATAGCAGCAGTAGGGAGGGAAAGAAGCAACAACTAAAGATTTTTTTTTCTTATTATTAATAACCGCCATGGCAAATCAACAGCTGCAAACACACTTAGAGTATTAATCAATAACAATTAATATTACTGTAAACAGTAAATTAATTTTAGTTAAGGATTTCACTGTCAAGCTAGCCTTCATCCAGGTATTCCTCAGCTAGAGAATGGACTTACTCACTATTGTTCCGCCACCATAAGTGTTGAATTAAACATTCAGGGATATTACATTTTAAATAGTTTAAAAGATTTATACAAAATATAAAAAAGTTAAAAAAAATCTTAAATGTTTAAAAAAATTATAATCTAATTTTTTATTTTTTTATATATATCTTTAAACAATAATATACCTGTAATTAATTAAACCTTTTTTAAGCAACTACTAAGGATTAATTCCCTTATAAATGGTTTTTTACTGTCTCCAATGATAAATATAGTGTTCTTCATAGATCAGATAATGGTTGTATCCGTATCTAAACCGTTCAAGGCAGTTACGGATAGCTAACGGATACAGATCGGATGTTTGGATATTGGATCGGATGTTGGATATCGAATTGGATAGCCTTGAAAGGCAGAGGTGATTTCAAAATTAGTAGACGGAAATCTTAATGTAGATTGTTCTTTGAATGCTTAAAACTCTCAACGCATATTACTTTGAAGAAGTGTGTGGAGAACAAGTCTGCTATAAAGAAACGGTTCACCAAAAGATATGTGAATATTGTATTAGCGTTTTATCTCACAATAAGAAAAATAGAGACATCAGAGGAGTAGAGGAGAGGAGAAAAAGGGCGCGGACAAAGCATTGGCAACTTTATAAAAGATATAAACGTCTTTATGTGATAATGAAAATGAGAAGTGCTATAAATACGAGTTTTTTTTCTTATGCGTAAGAGTTTTTCTAAGCGGGTTTTTAAGGTAGCTGTGCTGTGAAACCTCATATAGCCAATCCAATTGCCGTCTTACACGTATGAGGTTTTTGCCAAAGGAACTGAACAGCATATGCATACGAGATTTTGTCTACCCATCAGTCTTCCCTTTTTTTAGATGGCCTTATCAAAATAACTAGCTATTGTCATACTTCTTGATGTAAAACTACTCATTTAATTGGCACAATGGATTTAATTATACTATTCTTTTCGAGATCTTACAGGATTCTGTTCTGCCACTATACAGTGATGGCATATATAAGTTTTGCATTCCTTCTTTTCTTTAAGTTCTTGGCCTTTTCCCAATATTGGATGGCACACTAAGCTCGATATCAGGATCCTAATCAATCAAGTATTTAATTTGTTTGTGTGGAGGAGTTTTCTACCGAGTCCACATAGGTAACAATTACTTATAAAAGAACTCTAGGCAGCGCTCTTTTACACGTACGAGTTTTTTTAATCTGTTTCCACATAAATCATAAGTAGCGGGGACAGATTGTGACAGTTGTCTGCTTACGCATACGCGTTTTTTCTATCCTGGTTCTATGTAAATTATAACTAGCTGGTGCAAATTTTGACAGCTATCTGCTAACGCGCACGAGTTTTTCTAAACCTGGTTCCACGTAGATCATAACTAGCTGGGACAAATTTTGACAACTATCTGCTTACGGGTACGAGTTTTCTTAAGCCTGGTTACAGTGAGTTATTTGTTAATCTGAAGACCGTTCAGCTCTATAGGAAGTTGGAGGTTCTTAGGAAACTTGCTCACTGTACTTTCGAGTACCATATGCTTCTCAAATGTAGAAAGACTATCATCTGACATATTAAGTAGAAATAGTAGTGAGGGTAAGTACAGTCTTCCTACTTCATAATAAGACCAAGACTCCAACATCGAAACATTGCGCCTTACATATATGACTTACATTCAAATGATCCTTACATCTGAAACAGCCATTTTATCTATAGCTGAAGATCTAATAGAAGGTATTGTAGAAGGAGCAAAAATCTAAATGAATAGGATCTAATGCAGATAGAAGGTGTTGAAGATCTCAGGTCTTATGCACGAACTCGCATGTGGAAAAGTGCATATTTCGTTCCATTGTTTCTAGAAACGTTTAAATAGTATCTGCTAGTTTTCATTACCTTTTCCCGGTAATATCTTGTTGTAACAACCCATTTGTTTATCTCTCCCCCATTTCATTTCTATTTTTCTCTTTCTGATACAATTACCATTATTCACTTTATACTTACTCTGTTCCCAACAAAACCTAGAAACGTCAAAGATTGTTGTGATTCCATCGGCACGTAGAGTAGCCGTGTAAATAAAATAAGAAATATACAGAAAAAAGAAAAGAAGATGGGGAGCCAAAGTCTGTTGCAGAATGGTGAAAAAAAGGAGAGAAATTTATTTGGCCTAGTCGGGCAATGTATCCATCGTTTTGCTGCTGATGACTACCGATTCGTCGACAGCTTGTCAGCGTGGCACCAAATCAGCTCTAGCTTTTCTCTTCTTCAACAACGCAATAAGCGTATCCAGCTCACCTAAATATTCAACAACCTTAAAGTATCATAATTCGTTTAATTCCATTCTTTTAAAAACCCACTTGCCCCAACATAAGTTTGAAAATCTTACTAATTGTTGATTACGGTTGCTGGGGATAGCAACATGCAAAACCTTTGACTCTCCTACTATTTCGTCATCAGAAATTTCGGGCGACATGTACTTGGGAACCAGGAGACGCTCGCCATTAACCCATCGCATCCCCAAACTCGCTTGATGTGTGGCGTTCGCAACTTTTTGAGCCTACAGCATCTGCTCAACCAATGTGTATAAGTGACTCATTCAAAAAAATTAACGAATTTTTACAGCATAAAAGTAATAAGTACTGACTCGCCAAACACGCCCAGAACGTTTCTTCTGGAGCTTAAGCCTGTCATTGCTGCTGCTCCCCTCCTTCTTCTGGCCTCAGAAGTACCGGTGGACCTTCATTCGTAACTGCTTCTGGTCCAGAGCACCTAGGCAGTATGCTATGATGGTCATGGTTACCTGTTCATTATGACTAGAACGGAAGGTCTCGTCATACTTGTATCCCGCGGGAAGGGGAAACGCACAATGGCGTTGATGGATGTCCCTCTGGTACATATTGACTACTATTAAGTGATGGCTACAAAGGATTGTATTACAAGAATATCAATAGACCTACAAGCACTTTTTCCACCTCGCTCTTGGGCATATGAGGTGTCGTCGATGCAACAACAGGCTGCTGTGCCCCAAGCATGGCTGTAATAACGTGCAGTTGACGGCGTGTTACCAGATTTTTGACTTCTAAGAGCACCTGCAGCAGTCGCTGTTACGAAACTGTTAAATTTCAGAGTTTAACAGCCCGCTTAACAGTACGTAACAGCTTAACAGGGCATTTCGTGCAGCAGTTACTGTTACGAAGCTGTTAACTTCACACGGCGTTGGTTTTAATGAAAGCTTTACCCTTTCTCCTGAGCAGGGGGCAGCGGCAGAAACGTCAGACAGGCGAGTGGCGTTAGAAGTAGCGTTGTTCAATTTGAAGATTACAAACAAAGAATGAAGTGAGATATAGCTTTATTTTTCAAGTCCTTTTTCTCGATTCAAGAAACTGTTAAATTTAACAGTTTTTGTTTGTTCGGGCTGTTAAATTTAACAGGACGTTAACAGCAACCGCTGCAAGGTCTGGCTGTGAAATAAACTATTAAATTTAACATAACAGGTTCTTAACAGCGACCGCTGCAGGTGCTCTAATGCCGCACACTTGTCTTGCAATTACACGACGTTATCACGAAGGTTGGCGACCTCCATTGCTGCTGCATATTACTGGCATCACTGAGCAATTGCACTGGTGGTGTTAGTGGTGTTGTTGTTAATAGAAGACATCTAATATCAAGGATACAGGCAAGTCAATATCAGAAAAGTCTCATTGTATATGGCTTTGATCTTTTAGGCTTTACGTTTTAGACAGATCAAGGGGGAGTGGTAAGAAGCAAGCATAAAAGTAGGACTGGGTCGACGTTAAGTATTATTTCTATATCCTAGTAGTGTGCATGGTCATGGTGTGCATATTTGATCAGATTGTGTTAAGCACGAATAGCAAGTATATAAAGTACTTTTGTGGTTGTTCCTCTTTTCCCTCTCTCTTTCTATTTCTCTTCTACAATTAATAGTCGTATGGTCCCTTCTAAAGTAAGTATTTCTTGTTCTTTCTCCCTCCTAACTGCTGCTTTTTGATTACTTTTTCATCTTTATGTAACTGTTCTTTGTTTCCTTTATGGGAGTTACTCATTAATAATTAAATGTTCAACAAATCTTGATTTCTTAGAACTTTAATTAATTAACACTGGGCAGGAGGGGTAATATAAAGGGGCAAAAAACAGCTGAATATAAGCTGAATATACTGCTTGTCATCCAAATATAAAGCTATTTTATAACCGCTTTATAGTTCCTGCAAAAGGCCGCTTTTTTATCACATATTCAGCTGTCTTTAACAGCTTTATAGCTGGTTTCCAATTTTGATAATGGGTAGTGCATATGCGTAGAAAGAGATCCCCCAATTGCTTTACATACGGACTAGGTACTCCATCGTGCATATAGAGGGGTGCATAGCATATTTTAGCGCAATCGATTTTGGGCATATACTAAACGGATGAAATAATCGCAGCACATCTTGATTACTGTATAGCAGTGATGATTATTATAGTATGGTCATAAGCAACCAATTTATTTATTCCATTATTAAAGTTCTGAAAAACATTTACAGAGCAATAAAAAGCATTAAAGGGGCGGTAAAAATAAATGCGAAGCATGAAAGGAGTCTTCTATGTATATTTGTGTGAATGTGGTGCATAAAATCTCTAGATGGTGATGGGGCAAAGGCAAAAGGGTGAAGCATACTGTATGTGTTAATGAGTCTGTGACCCACTCAAGAAGAACGAAGGTAACCTGTGCTGCAGCTAGACAGAAGCAAAAATATGGGTAGCTTTACCGTACCTGAAAAGTTCGGCTTAGACGGTGCCAACAGCGATCAGACAGTGGGCAACATGCATGCAGCAGTGCAAATGGGGATCTACGTGGATATCCAGGTTGGAAGACCATGCAAAGTACAAACAAGCTATGAATGAGGAAAGAAGGCTTTTAGTGAAAGAAGAACTATAGAAAGAAAGTATGTAAACATTACAAAGGGAGTACTTACAAGCTTCAACTCGTATGGATCATGCCTATGATATTGGATAGGAAAACCGGTCGTTTCATGAGCTACATATGCACACGAAATAAAATATCCTTAATAAAAGCTGCAGAGACTCCAGGGTAGTTGAAGAGCGATAAAAGCAAAGAGTGCCTTACAAACCTATGGTACTAGGTCCTTGAGAGAATAGTGTATCGTAGCAGCCAGGAAGGAAGAGAAAAGGAAGAGAAAGAAACAGAAAGAAAGGCATAAAATACGAAGGAACGATCGATGCAAAATATAACTAACCTAAAATACTGTTGAAGTCATGCTGACCATGCATTAAAGGCTAATGTTCAATATAGGAACCCGGGCACTTTTGAGCGACATGAGTGTCGGAGTTTCTTTAAATTTTGTGTAACGGTAACCCAATATATCGCATATGTGTGTACCAAATTTCGCAATCACAGCTATAAAACTCGCAGAGATATAAACAGGCAACGTAGTGGATATCATATCTTGTAAAATTAATAGTGATGGCTACCTCTAAAAAAAATAAAAAAGATACTAGCAATCTCAATATGAAGACAATGACTACATTTCAGACCAATCTTAAAGCTCTAGCACGTAAGAATAAATGAATATTATCTACACTGATAAATAATGATACTTGAAGAATGAAAATTCTCAAATCTCAATAATACTTTCAAAATAAACACTTTTCTTTAGCTTCAAAGAGTGAATAGTACTGTAAAAGTACTATTAGAGGATAACCAAAAAAATATAGAGTAAATATCATTGTATATTCAAGGGTGATAACTAGTATAAAATTATGATATGTATATACAAATCATATGCATTGTAGGAGTGAGATACTTACTAGAGCAAACATATAATAAATAAGTAAAGCATATTCACTGAAAATAAAGATTAAGATATTGATATCATACCTAAGTGAGTGATAAGTAACTGATACATATAAAAAAGAAAAAAGAAGAGTAGATAGAGCTATAGTATTGCAGCTATACTAAAGTATGTATGCTAGAAACAAAAGATGTATGTAAAAAGGAAGGAAATAAATAATCTAGCTAGCACTAAAGGATGGAAACAGCACAAATGAATGTACATAGTAAGCAAATGATGCCAGTAAAGAAAAAAAATAGGTATAGATAAATACTAAAAGACCGGAAATACTTTAACGTATGTATATAGTAAATAAAGAATACATACTAAGAGAGATTAATAGTTCAAGATAGCAATAAAGGATTTCAGACACATAAATGCATATAGACATTAAATAAAAGATGCAGAAGAGAAGTAAACAGTTACAGGTACCATCAACAGAACAAAACCATCCATATATGTATATATAAATAAAAGATGCAATGAAAAGAAAAAGGAATAGTTATAGTACTACAAAAGGTCTCGAACAATATAAACATATGTATGGAGTAAACAATGAATGCATGCAAAATAGAAATAAACAGTTCTAGATCAGCACTAAAGTACTAGAACAGAATCAATGCATATATATGGTAAACAAAGAATGCATGCAAAGAGAAATAAATAGTTCTAAATAAACACACAAGGACTCAAACAGCGTTAATAGAATGTATAGAGTAAAAAAATAATGCATATAAAGAGAAGTAAATAGTTCCAGATAAACATACAAGGACCCGAACAGTGTAAGTGCAATGTATAGAGTAAACAAAGAATGCATGCAACGAGAAATAAATAGTTCCAAATAAGCACATAAGATCCAAACATGAATAACCTATGATTATGGAAAAGCAAAGTAAATGGTTAAAGATAGCTCCGAAGGATTGATGCCACTCAAATGCATGTACATAATAAATAAAAGATATTGAAGAGAAGTAGGTAGTTATAGATAGCATCAATAGATTGCAGCAACACATTATATGTATGTATAAACAAAAGATGCAAGGAAAAGAGAAACAAATAGTTATAGTACTAGCAAAGGATTAGAGGAATATAAATGCATGTACGGAGTAAACAAAGGATGCATGCAAAATCAAAATAAACAATTATATGCAATAATCCATACCCAATAAAGTTAAGAAGATACAACAGCAATAATATGCTGTGATATATCTAGTAAGATTACCTTCACTGTTAAAAAACTATATAAAGGCACCAATATTTTTCAGTTTAGTTCATTGCTATTTTCATTATCCCTTTTTTACTTACGTTCTTCATATTCTGTATCATCTAACTATGGCTCTTCCAAACATTCTTGACTTTATGGCTACTATTCCAGACCATCATCAAGCTTTGACGTAAGTATATCTTTATGTTGTTGAAATTGTGTCCTTGTAAAATGTGGTGTTTTTATAAATATATGTACTGACTTAAGGAGAATCTCCTTACTTTAGTTTTTTGGTTAATAACAATGTGTTCAGTACTACCATGGTCTGTGATGAGGGTTCATCTATGGAAGTTTACTGGCCCCCTAGTTGGAAACGACCGAAATGGCGCTGCTCGCGTAGCTGTCCTTATGGTCGGTCATCCAAAAGCATTACTACTGGCAGCTACTTTTACAACCAGAAGGCTGATATACGGATGATTCTTTTCATCTTGTACACCTTTATCGCACGAGCTTCTGTTACAACACTCACAGCGTTGACAGGGCTCCACCGGGATACTACATCACAAATCATTTTTGATGTCTATCAGGTTATACTTCAGGATATCACAGATGATGATCTCATGCTTGGTAACGCATTTATTTCTTTTTTTATTGATGATGCTTTTTGGGTAATTGTTGTCATTAATCAAATATATTTTTAAACAGGTGGTGAGGGCGTCACTGAAGTACAAATTGATGAAAGCAAGTTCGGTAAACGGAAATATAATCAAGGCAGTCGTGTTGAAGGTGTCTGGGTCTTTGGTATGATCGAAAATCGTAATGGCCGAGCTGGGAAGGCATTCTTAA